TCACTTTCACAATCGAGTCCCGTTTTGTTTTTGTCTTTGATGGGTCTCAATATCAAAGTACAATCTGAACAACCAACTTGAATACAATCAACTTGGCCGGAATCTTGGGGAGCCCTGTACATGGTCTGGAGACCCAGCCCAGCAGCCCTCATGAAGGATTTGTTCTGTCTATGAATAGGCCCCTTCTTTTGTCCAGAGAGGAAGAAAGGGGCTTTGAGTCCCCATTTTACAATAGATAACTACAGAATTGTGCTCAGCTGTTATTTTTTAAGGCATAAAAGGCCTATTGGAGTTCTCATTTTGGCAGAAGACAGACTTCCAAGCTTGTGAAGCCCAGCTCGCAGGATCGCCTGCGTGTCATCAGCCAAAATAGGCTTATGCAGGCATCCCGCACCATCTGAGTTCAGCCACCATATTTCCTGAAAAAGAAAATCCCTTATTCATTTAACCCAACCAAACGTACCTTTCCCTAGAAGACATTCCTTCAAAACTCATGGACCCCCTCCAAGAACATGTCCACACAGCAAGGTACCACACTTACTTGTGGAGGCTCCGAGGTTACAAGGTAGGACAAAGAAACTTTAAGACACATGAAGTAAAACTAAAGCCACGAAGTGTGAGAGGTTAACACACAAGAGTTGGAATTACTGTTCGGGGAGAAATTACACATTCAGGCTATCAACACTCTGCTTGGGAACATGCATCTGCCATCCTGCCTATGGAGTGGATATGAGCAAGAGATAATTGCATTTAAAATCATTTCCTCAGGCTGGTGATATTGCTCAGTGGCAGAACACTTGCTTATCATGCATAAAGCCCTGGGTCAATTCCTAGCAGCATACACACACACACATACACACACACACACACACACACACACGAAACAAAACCACATTTTTTAACTATGCTCCATTTGTCAGAGGAGACAACAATCTAGAGACAATAGGTGAACTTTCTTTTTTTAAGAGGAATGATGTCCTAGCCATCTACCATAAATGCTCTGACATATTGTGAGCTGGGTGGATACCACAGCTTGGACTTAATGGTCAAAGATTCCCTCCCTGTCCCTCTAAATATACAGGGGTAAGAACAATTTTTGTGGGAATTATCTGGAAGCCCAGGGAACAAAAGAGCATTTCATGCAGATGCCAAATGTCGGAGCCCACACAGTCGCTCAGAGAGAGAAAGAGCGAGCGAGCATGTGGGACACAGAACAAGGAGAATCTGTGATCTGGCCACAGAGGAGCAAAACCCCAGGACTCCTGCTTAGCCCTGCTGGCTCGGATGGCCTGTGCTCTGCCTCACTGTGACTCAGGTTGCTGCACCTCCCAGCTGCAGGTGAATCCAAGGGCCATCACTGCCTCCTACAGACAGCTCCCTGCTAGAAGCTTCTAGACATCAGAAATCCTCCTGAGCTCAGTTGGTCTCAATTTCTACAACTTTAAGACCAAAGAAATAAACCTTGAATAAATAAATTGATACTGAACAATAGTATGACTTACGATGAGGAACACTTAGCCCTTTAATTTGGATTATAATGAACAAACTACTAAAGAACTAGGTAAAACTATTTGAATGGCCAAGATTTAAGTAACAAGACCTCTTAACATATCTACTGAGAAAAAGTGGCTAACCAGAAGGCAAACTCATTGCATTACCATCTATTAACAGAGAATTTTATTAGATTAACAGCCACTGTGTTGCAGAAATTAAAAGGTACTATGAGACTCCAGAGTAGTCTCAACCCACTATGAGGAAGGATCCACAAAAGTTGTTAGTCCAGGGCAGCTCAGATGCTGTACACAGTTTCCAAAGCCCCTGCTGTGGAACTAACAGGGGAGGAATGAGCTGTTCTCAGAGCACACTCACTGGAGTCACACTTGCATAAATGATTGTTCTGGGTACCTATGCTGACTTTGACAAGGCATCTGAGCAAAAGGCCCCCATTACTGTTGCTGCTGTTGAAAATCAGAGCCTCGCTTCGGCATCATGAGCTGCCACAGTGCAAACACTTGCAGAGTCTACAAACAGTCCTGAAACATGAGACACTGTACACATGCTTATGTGTCCATGCGAGTCGCCAGCTCCACGGGGGATGCTGATAACTTCACTAAAATGAAGAAAGCCCCACGGACAGGAAGCCAGGCTCACACTGAGATCGAGCCCAAATGAAAGAAGACACTGGAAGGAGGAAAACTAACCTGCTGAGTAACCTGAGTATCTCAGCTGTTGAACCAAAGGACAGTGGGGGACAGTGGCCAGCCACTGCCAAGGGGGAGGGTCAGAGTTAGTTCCCATGAGCTTGGTATAAAAAAAGATCCTAATCCACCATAACTCCCATGAGCACAGACTGCCTCCCCTCTGCCACCAATGATCTGTTTATCAGCATGTATTTCAGCCTAGAAGCTGTTTTGTTTTTAAATGTTTTCCAGTGTTAAAGACATAGGCATACCCACGGCCAGATGCTGAGAACCACTGAACATGCATACGAGTTATCATCTGGGAAACTCAGGCAGTGATACTAGAAATTTCCATCACTAAAGTCCTAAATGGCATGCCCCACTGGAAACTTCAGTGAACAAACACGGAAGTCCAAGAGCAGGGGCATATGTGATAGAGGCCTTCTTGCTGGGGCAGAGGCACCGTGCAGTAAGATACAGCAAGAGCTCTAACTCCCAGCTATAATCCCCTCTATAAACTGAGTCCATCCATTCACAAAGAGGAGGCCTCATGATGCAGGCTCTTCCCACTATACACCACCACTACAATAACACAAAACCACCACTGTTGTTCTGGGGATTAAACTTCCCGAATGCAAATTTCCTTTTAGTCTTTCACTTAATTACCCTAAATCTTTTCCATGCAAATAGATACTGTACATTGAACCTATTTCCTGTCATGCCCCTCACCCCTTCCTCTTTCTCTCCTTTGTTACCCTAGACAGTCCCATGTCTACTTCCGTTTTCTGCATGCATACATGATTTTATGTAATTGCATAAAATCTGGAAACCACAAATTAAAGGCAACACAGGACAGTTTTTCCTTCTGAAACTGCCTTACCTCACTTAATATGATTATGTTCCTTAGAACAAGGTAATGTCATTCTCTTATATGTAGTTTGTGGCTGAAAACAATTATATCGTGCATGTATACCATATCTTTTAAATCCAGTTCTCTGTGGCTGAACACAGGTTGGTCCCATAACTTAGCTACTGTGAACTGCCACGTGAATTTTGATGGACACTTTCATCAGAGCAAAAGACACGCAGACTGGCCAGAACTTTGGAGCAAAGAGCACAAGGCTTTGTTTTGCTTGTTTGCTTTTTAATCCTTTGAAATCATATTAACTCACTTGATCTAATCGTACAGCCACCACAATTAGGATACAAACCTCTGTATTTTTTCCTGATTCATGGAAGACACATAAAGCAGAATCCACTAACTGTGGCCCAGCATGTAGCTAAGACAAGACCTGTCCACACAAGGCATGTGCCTGGAGCCGCCTGAATGCCTCAAGAACGCCACTTTGGAAACTCTGACTCTCTTCGCTGACTGTGCTCCCATAAGCAACCTTCCGACCACCCAGCTCCCCAATAGACCCAGTCTCCAAAGGAAAGCTAACTGGAGACAGCCTCAGGCCAGGCAGTCCAGGGGACATCAACGGGCAAAAATCACAGATGTCATGAAAATGGCACAAACCCCTCTTCAATGTCATTTCCATTATTCAGGCTTCCTGAAGACACCATGTTCTCTGTCATTCCTCAAGTTTCATAGTTTACACCTGTGTACAGCTCTACACTGTACATGCTTTATCTCAGCAGTCCACTTCCCAGAAACACCAAGTCCGGTTATCACGAGAAAGACCTGCTGCAACTGTTGGGAAGTGACAAATGTCACCATGCACCTAGTCCACACTCCTCCTGGCTGTTAAAATCAACACCGACTAGGGAATTCTAAGCAACTACACAGCTGGGAACAGCTAAAACACTAGGGCAGTAGATGCAGTAAGGCGGGTGGCTGAGTGGAGTCTTGGAACTGCAGAGTGGCATCAAACCGCAGCTCAGGGAACCTATGTAGAGTGCGGGCTAAAAGAAGGAAGGATACTGACCCTGCTTCAGCAACTGCACTGTGCGCTACACGGGTGAGCCAGACGCTCAAAGCACAGGAAATGAAGGTGGAGGCAATGCTTCTTCCTGGGAGCTTCATGGCATCACCTATTTTGTTCCTCACTCTGTGTGTTCATTTTCTGATGTCCACCTTGGCATAAATAGGGTATCACCCAACCACCGTTTCTTAAGTAGCACAAATATATATGGCCGAATCAGCGCTTCAAAAAATATGAGTTCCTACAAACACTAACTTCACTGGAATATTAATCCTTATACTTTCTCCACCTTCCTTATGTCTCATATGTACAGCAGGTGGAGTGAACTATGCACTCTCATCACTGCTCTAACTTGGAAGCATCTGCCTCCCTTCAGGGAAGAAGATACTCAAGATGAGGGAGAGGATGTAGCCCTCATGGGGCAGGGACCAACTGACTGGTCAGTATCTGAATCACTTCATACCCAGTAGACTTTAGTCCCTCCTTTTCCTCTCCTCCTCTCTCAAGCCCTTTTAACTGACACATGCCCAGCCCTTCTGGAATATTCCAGAGGAGTTCTATGCCTCACTGTTAGCCATTCTTCCCCTGCACCAACTGTCATTAACCTAAGAGAAAACATCAAACAAGGACCCATCTCTCCTCACTAAAGCACCCTCACACAAGTGAGTCACAAATTCACTGCCCAGCCATGCACTGGATTGCATTTATTCCCTAGAGTGATTTCCCTTCTGGTCCTCATCTTCAGCATCACTGTCATTTTTCTCCACTCTTACAAACAGAGACACTTGGGTCCCTATCACTACATGACTGCAGTGATACACATCGGCAACTCAAGTTACCCGCCCACCCCACCTCCCTGCCACCCATTCGCCACAGGGTTGGAGACATCCCCTACCTTTCGCTGAGGCTTCTCCACAACTGTGCACCTGCAATCAGAAGTAAAATGTGACACTTAAGCAAGATGTCACTCCCCAGGAGCATCTGACAGCTTAGACACATCCCAAGCTTCTTCAAGCAGAACATTTACTGGCAAACTATAGTGTCCATGTTTGTTACCATAACAACAGGTGACAGCCTACAGACACTTGAGTAAGTGTCACACAGGCAGGACACTCCAGAACCCATCCCTGCCCCCAAGTACTTTATTACCAGTGGGGCATAAAATGAGCACTTAAGAGACAAGTGCTGTCAAAGATTCAGTATAAGATTTGACAAGAGGCGGTAACTATCAAATGTCAGAAAGGGCAGAAAACATGACTTCTCAAGTAGGAATAAGGGAAGTGTATTGAAGGGGAATCTGGCATGGTGTATTCTTCAGATATTGTAAACTTAATATGTAAGCTGCAATGAAATCAACAGAAAAAAATGTTAATTGATGATGATGATGATATATAATAGAAAAGAAGCAGTAGATGAGATAGATAGATAGATAGATAGATAGATATATAGATAGATAGATAGATAGATAGATAGATAGATAGTCAGATAGATTTGTTTTTATAACTCTAGGAACTATCTTTATTGGACCAAGTCTTGATAGCACACTCCCAGCTACCAGATTTAAGGAAGCTCAATAAAGAAAGAACCATGAGAAGTTTTCTGCACTTTCCATCAAACCAAAGGTCAAAAGTATTACCCTGTGTGTTCTTGAATATCCCCTATCAACTGAGCATCCCCTATCAAATTCTTCATAACATTTACTGCTAGAAAAAAGTTGCTTATGGCTTCCAATTCTTCAGGCAATTTGAATTATGCAATTAATCTGGTTTTATTTATTGCCTTGGTTGCATGAGCATAAGGATGAATCGTTTCTCCATCATGTTAGGAGACTGAATTCTGCTCCTATTAGGCCTCTAAAACCACTGTTTCCTGTATCTTCTAGAATAACTCAAAACTTTCTGGAGTTGAACAGCATGTAAAATGAAATAAACTTAGCCCCAGGTGCTAAACAACACTGCAGATCAGCTAGAGTTGGATATGGATAGAAACATGAGGTCTACCCTCACCTCATGCTAGTCTAACTTACCTCCTCACTGTGTGTCTCCAACAACTCTGGAGCCAACAGTAGAGAAAAGAGATGCTGGCCTTTTGTCAAGAATCAGATTATGGTTGAGGGACAAGACTTTGAAATGGCTGCCACGGTGGAGCATAGCTCTGGTGGGGATTGCATAGAGTGAGGAAGTTCTGACAAAGATGAGATCAAAGCACAGCATAAGTGACAAAGGGCAAAGGAAGAAAAGAGTGAATGGACAGGTGGTTCCACAGGAGGGGACCTGGAGGGTGAGCAGAGTGTACTGACTCTGAGACATCCCAGGGGTGACTTGACAGTGCTTCCAATCCCTAAGCTCAGACAAGGGGCCACCACACGGACGACTGAATCCAGGCCTTAGATTGGTCAACTCAGAATAACAGTAAAGGAAGGGCATGAAGGATTAGAGGCCATGAGTCCAATCTCAACTAGGTCTAATCTCAACAGTCAAGAGGCTGCTGCGCTGTGGCACCAACAGATGGTGTGGATTTCACAGGAGGGAAGACAGAAAGACTCAGGGGTTACAAAACTACCCCCCCCAACAAGGCTGTGGGCAGAGACAGGGACACCTACTTCCAGGGAGGGCCTGAAGGTCTTAAAGCCTCAAGTGGAGATGACTGGCCCTAATTAGCATGAGGGTGAAGGACAAAGTGGTCGCAGGTGAGTCCGAGGATGCAGAAGATTGCCTCAGAGCCTGGGGGTGAGCAGTGCTGCTGGGGTGCACACTTTCAAGTCTACCACAGACAGAGGAGTCTGCTGGGGGTTGCGGGGACTGACGAGCCAAAGGCCTGGGTCCCTGCAGCTTTCACAAAGACAGACCAATTCACACGACTGCATCTCTGTTCTCCTCCCTCCATTTGCTTCTCATGAGGTGTCTAGGGTGTGCCCGAGAGAAGGGTGGAGAGCAGAAAGGAGGTGGGGTGGGTTTGCTCGCTTCTCTGTGGTGACAGAGCTCCTGTCTGCTGAGATGAAAAGCCTCGCCATCAGATGTTCAGTGATGTGCACACGGTTCACAGGGATGTGTGCTTAAAGTGTGGTAAGAATGTATTGGGGGGAGGGGACCGCTAAGCTCATAACCAGAAAAGTCCGTCTCTTTAGTCAAGAGTTTAGAAAATGAGCAGCTGAGAGAGGGAAAGAGGGAGAAGGTCCCAGAGAGCTCTGCTGACCAAGGCTACCCTGGCTGCTGGTGTCAGCATCAACAGGGGTATCTGGGAGTGACTGACAGTTCTGACGGGAGCTACAGCGCTCCCACAGCTGCTTCCAGATAGACCTTGCAACAAAGCCTACATCCCTGAGAGCAGCCTATTGCAGCCAGCACTGTTTGGGGTCTGGAAAGCCTGCTGCCATCTCTAGTTAGCTATTCATGGAGCTCAATGGAGTCTTTGTAAAGGAGGCCAAAGGAGGCCCTAGGGTCTCTCCAGTCAATGACTAGGGAGTTCTGGGAAAGCAGCAGAAGGAAGTTCATATTTTTTTCTTCTTTTTTCATGTATAGAAATTCTGTGTTCAGAACAACATCATTCAATGAAAACCCTGAGAGAAAGATGGGTCTGTTGCAGAAGTCGGGGTGGGGGGAGGGGGAGGGGGAGGCTGGCATGAATGCATCCCCATTAGAGGCTGGTACTTATAACATAGCCTGACCGTCGAGAAGACAGAGCCCCAGATGTCCTGACTGTGCCAGCTAAACAGGGAGGGAGACTGCCACTGGATGGCCTGCTCACGCATTGTAGTCTTTTACCTGAACCAAATTCAAGCCTGTGGTGTGAGCATGGGTTCTCCTCTGTTACAGTACCAAGTGGTTCAGTCATCAAAGCAGGCTCAGCACCCATTGAGCATTGCTTCATGGAGAAAAGGGGACTTTACAGGCACCACCGTGTTAAGAATAGAGAAGATTACTCTAGGTCATCCAGGTGGGCACCAGTTCCAATCACAAGCGTCCTTTGCAGAGAGCATGGAATGAGGTCCAATGCAAGCACAGATGTTGAGGTGCCCATGGAGGCTGGGATGGCTTCTCCATAGCTAGGATGGACATTAACTAACTCAAGAATTTTTCTTTCTTCGTCACGCTTTGTTTTTGCACTACTAGGGGCCAGCCTGTGCTTGTCGGGAAGCAGCGCACTACTGAGCTAGATCCGCTTTTTATTTTAAGACAGGATCTCAACCAGCAGCTCTGCTGTGGCTCTACACTTCCTCTCCAGCCCAGGCAGGCCTCCGACTTCTGATCCTCACCCCTCAGCCCCTCGTAGCTGAGGTTACAGGCCTGCTTTGACAGCCCCAACTTAAGAATTAAAATCTCCAGGCTAGTAGATGTCAACTCCACCCCGTGAATGTTTTCAAGGGCAGTTTTGTGTAGAGGGTTTTCAAGGACACTGTTTGCAAATAAATAAGTTCTCCACTGTGTAACTACCAAAGCGGCAGGTCAAACTGAATGCCAACAAGCTCGGTAGGTCCTGGCCCCGCACTCAGAAATCAGGTCCTTAAGCTTGCCTTCCTCTCTTCATTTGTCTGTTCTTTTTTTTTTAACATTTATTTATTTAATGTATACTGGTGGGGGTTTTTTTGTATATACTCTGTGTGAGGGTGTCAGATACCCTGGAACTGGAGTTACAGACAGTTGTGAACTGCCGTGTGGGTGCTGGGAATTGAACCGGGACCCTCTGGAAGAGCAGCCAGTGCTCTTAACCACTGAGCCATCCCTCCAGTCCCTTGTCTGTTCTTTTTAACTTGTGTCTAAGTGACAGGCAAAGCTAACGCACAATGGAAAATACCAGGGCGCTCAACTTCCTGAACTGCCAGCTTGCTTTAAAGGCTGCTGAGCACACCTGCGATGGCTCTGCCTTCTTGCATTCTCCTGAGGGAAGAATGTGTTACAAAGTACATCCAAGAAAACTGAGCCCTCCTCTCAGGGCTACAAATCAAGGCAGAAACACGGGGTTTGCCAGGGCCTAACCAACTCCTCCACAGAACCTGAGGTGTGAGGTACTAGTTGCAGGTAGCCTCCAACGCTGTTGGGGTTGAAAGTGGGGGAATTGGGCATCTCTTCTCTAAAAGGGGGGAGAGGGAGAAAAGTGTGTTGTGTGTGTGTACTGTGTAAGAATATAATTTAAATCTGTTGATTTATGAAATACCTGAACTAGATTAAAATATGTTTTATGTTCCCAGAAAGGCTAGGCATGATGGAGTTACCACCACGCCTGAACACACTAAAAAACAATCTTTCTAAAAATTGTTTCTATGGTGGTTTGGTTTTAAAACTGGACAGGTTTAAACATGAGACAGCTTTAAAGTTGACCACGGAATACCATGACTGTAAAGTCACAGAACCTTCATTCCGGTGCTCAAGTCCTTGCTTGAAAGGTGGGGCCTCTCCCATAATAAAATCCCCATGATGGTGGTTCATATGCACAGCAGACCATGTGGCTCTAGTCACAGACTCCTCTTTGTGATTTTGGTCAAATCCATCTTATTACATGTAGACTCATACGGCTAATTTACAAAAACTAGTTCAAACATTAGTGGAAGGGGCTTGGAAAAGGTTCACTCAGGTTTTAATATAGTTACATAGCTCCTAAAGACACCAATCAGTCATTAAAAGTGATTCAAGCTCTCCCTTTTAAATGCAACATTTACACTTGATTCTCTTCTCAACACCATTAGTTATTCAAAACTTTTATGCAAACTTCAGTGATTTTAAGTTCATTGCTTTCATTCACTGAGGTGAAAGAAAACTGTCCATAAACTCATGCATTTTCCAGTGGCCCAGTGTGAGCTTGCAGGGTAGAATAAATATTTAACTGCTATTCTCACAGCAGCCTACTTAAATATCACCCTGGTATGTGAAGTAGCTTGAAACTAAGGAAGAGCCCAGCACACATGGCCCTTTTACCTGCTCTGACAAGAGACAGAATCATGAGCTAAATCATGAGCTGAATTGTAGCTCAGTGATACAACATTTGCCTATCATGCAAGGCCCTGGGTTCAAACCCCATCACTGAAATTGTGTGTGTGTGTGTGTGTGTGTGTGTGTGTGTGTGTGTATGTGTGTGTGTGTGTGTGTGTGTGTGTGAAACCCAGACAATACGTTGACTCATGCCTGTAACCCTAGCACTCAGGAAGCTGAAACAAGAAGGTCACAGAGAGTTCCAGTACAACCTGGGCACAGAGCAAGACCCCATCCCAGAAACCCAGGGGAAGTGAGGGAAGGACAGTGGAAAAGAGAAGGAAAGAAAATAATGCCTACATTGACTGTCCTGCTCAAAGGGTTAAAATTTCCGCACAAAAATTAGACATTTAGACTCTAGAAATAAAAAGCACAAAAATTAAGCCTGAGTACTCTTACCTCTTGTCCTAGACAAAACCATGTCCTTGATGATTTGCATGATAACGCGCCCAAGTATCATGACAGAAATGAGATGATAAACTCTCCATGGAGTCAATGCAAGGAACCTGTGACCAAGAGAAACAGACACATGGCCATTTCAGTGTGAACATTCTCATTTTTTGAAAATCTAAGTTGACTTTCACAGGAACAAATCTAGTCTCTAATTTGGACAGAGGAGTCTTCTTTAGGGTCTTGCTCAGGACAACCCTAGGTGCTGCCAGCGGAGAAGGGCATGGCCTGAAATGGAGTTTTGACTGACTGGAGAGTCAGGGCTATAGGATGCTCTACAAACAGGGAGCAGCTGCCGGGATGCCCTGTCTCTTAAGAGTGGCTTTACGAGGATTGGCAAGATGGCTCAGCATGTTAAGGCCCTTGCTGCATGCCTGATGATCTGAGTCAGATCTCTGGAACCCCCCTGGTGAAAGGAAAAGGCCAGCTTGCACAAGTTGCCTGACCTCTACCTGTATGCTCTGGCCCACACGTAAAATAAAGGTCATTGTTAGCTGCTGTGTGTGAGGACTAGAGTTCGGATTTCCAGCAGCCATGTAAAAGCCAAGCAGCTATGGTTACTGTAAATATTCCCAGCACTATGGAGACAGTAACAGGGAACCCCTGATATAAGCTGTTAAGACAGACTAGCCAGAATTGCAAACTTTGGGTTCAGAAACAAATTCTGCCTCAATAAATATAGTAGAGAACAATTAAGATACCTGACATCAACTTTGAGCACATACACACACACACACACACACACACACACACACACACACACACACACATGAGGGAATACCCATGCACACATTCACACACACATTTTAAAAAAATGGCATTAAGAATCCAATTAGTTAGCATGTCCTCTTTTAAGATCACTACCCTCTAGGCTACCTGCCCACCTTCTCCTCCCTGGAGAAAGACAAACTCGAATTCCCATTTCATAAAGAGTGCATAATACCTTCAAAACTCCATTTGGAGAAACCTGCTAGGGAGAGTACTAGCCAAGATGTTGGAAGGAGCTTTGACTCTTCCATGAGACTAGAGGACGAGGTCTGCTTGACACCCGTTAATTGGCCAAGGTGATAACTGGTATTAGCCTGGCTGTACTCTGAGACCCCGAGAAAAATTAGTTTAACAAACATTTAATGGCAGGACTCTATAAAGAAGAGCTAGGCACAGGACTCTATAAAGAAGAGCTAGGCACAGGACTCTATAAAGAAGACCTAGGCACGGTGGTGCATGTCTTTAATCCCAGCACTCAAGAGGCAGAGGTAGGAGGCTCTCTGTGTGTTTGAGGTCAGTCTAGTCTACATAATGAGTTCCCAAGACAATCAGGAATACAGAGAGAGACCCTGACTCACAAAACCAAAGAGAAAGAGAGGGAGGAAGAGGATATAGGTGTACTTTTTTCTGTTAACTGTATAACCAAACACAGATTAAGCTAGCGAAGCCCAACAAAAAGCATGGAAGAAGGAGTCCTACACTGAATACAAAGGAGAAAATGAGCTGAGTACCAGCATTCATCACTGTCATGTGACCAGCTGAATCATTATCCTGCTGCCTGGCCTTACCTGGTGATGGAACTGTCTCTCCCTAAACCCTGAGCCCAAATAAATCCTTCCTTCTCTAAATTGCTTTCATCAGATATTTTGAAGATAGAGTTTTAGCCTTTATGTCACAGACTATAGAAAGAAAGCACAAGGTATAGAGCAGGAAAATAAAATGCTAAGTGATTTAGGAAGATGAGCTGGGCTAGGAAGGAAATATGTAGTCAAGCTACCTTCCAGAATGCTATGCAAGACTCTATATAAGATTTTGGGTCACGTGTGAAGAAAGCCCTCCATCAGAAAGGGGCACAAACCCATCTTCTACTCTGGTTCTAATGCCAAGTGCCCATGTGACCAGGGAAAGTAAAATGAGCAGGTAGGAAAGGTCAGTGCTTATAAGTTCGTATTCCGCCACTGTCTTAGGGTTTCTATCGCTGTGATAAACGGCCGTGACTCAGAGCAGCCTGGAGAGGAAGGGGTCATGTTGCTTACATTCATCCATGGAGCACTTCGGCTAACTTTACTGCTGTAACAATTCTACGATGAACGTGGATATGCAGCCAATCTCTACAATATGCTGTTGATTCCTCCAGATAAATAGTCACAGGTGAGACAGCTGGACCTTGTGTTGTGAACCAAATAATTTCCAATTAATCCTTACATGGAAATGGACATCAAAATAGTACTCCCTTATCATCTGCGCATGGGTGATCCTACTGCTTGGACTATGTCACACCCTCTGAAAACTACGGTCACTGTCATAGCACAACTAAGGTGGAAGGAGACTTCACGCCATCAGCCCATGACTCCCTTCAGGTGGAATCATGTACCTCTACTTAATACATCTCACCTAACATGACCAACACCCCCGCGCCCCCCAACTTCCTGCGGTATGTTAGCACTACTGCTCCCATGCTGCTATGCGCGTGTCAGCCACTAGGCAAATGCTGGTCTGCCCAACAAATATGGGAAAGCATAGAGGTAAATAACCACGTTGGAATGTTGGACCATTTAAGCTGCGGTAGGTGCAGAAAAGAGAGTCCCTAATTGCATAAGAAATAGAAAGTTCCAGGGGGATGATGGTTTTAAAACATTGTCTTCCGAAAGAAGTCAACTTGAGCCAGGTGAGGAGGACAGTCATGCTCCTGGTTGAAGAACTTAACGTACATGGGAGCAGGTGGCACCTAAAGTTAGGAGGTGTGCCCTAAGCGCTTGACCCTTCACGCTCTGGTGCAGGCGTGTCCTCTGAAGCCAAGTTCTGGATGAATGAAGTAGCTGATGTGTAATGGAGCGGGCTGTGTTCCAGGAGTTTCACAGTCACTTACTTCATCCTTAAAGCCAACCATGAGGAAAGTACGGTCATTACCCCATTACACAGATGAGCAAAGAGAGGTCAGAAACTTGCCTAATGCTCCAAGACAAGGTGAGGTGGGCACTGAGATGTGACTGCTAGCTGTAAGCCAGCTGTACCACTTTGCTAGCTGCCTCTCAGATAGACGGTTTCTGCCACTTCATGTGCCCCGTACCTTGTGAAAAGAGCCAGAAGCGCTGTCAGCAGTTTATCAGCTTCCTTTTTAACTAAGAACTTTACTTTTCAGAACAGTCTCCGGTTTACAAAAGAATTAAGCAGGGAGCACTGAGAACTCCCATATACCCCCTCTGCTCTGAATACATGTCCCATTTAAACATCTTGCATTTCAGATGTGGCCCATTGTTAGCGTCTGAACCATTCTCAATATGGCAGAACATAAATCAATAGAAATGGGTTAATTTAAGTTATAAGAGCTAGTTGGGAACAAGCCTAAGCTAAGGCCAAGATTTCATAATTAATAATAAGTCTCCACACGTCATTGTCTGGGGGCCGGAGGTCCAAAGAAAGTCTGAAAAGAAGACCTACTACTAATTACCATCAACATTTGTATGCTGGATTTGGGGTGGTCATACATTTGTCAACTCATCTAAGCCTTTTTTTTTTTAAACAGTTCTATCAGTAAGCTGCCTGTGTTGGATTTATAGACAGTTAAAGACCCCGGGGGGTTCTAGTTTTCAGATGATGCTTGGGCCTATGCATAGAAGTCTGTTCTTGTTTGACTCAGACAGTAATTCACACTGACAGGTCTTGCCTGGGACATCAGTCACATCTGTTTCCTTACCTGTGCATTTACTATCTGCATATCAGCAGTCCTTATTCACGTTGTTGATCACAGGTGTTGATTATTACTCAGGTCCTGCCACTCCCCAATTGCAGGGTGACCCACATTTAGTAGCCTGCACTTCCTGAGTTCATCATAAGAGACTTCCATAAACACCTTGCTTTGACATCCTGGGGTGTCTATGAGTTACCTCACCGCCTACTGTAGGGAACTACTATGAAATACTCTTCAACAATCCTCTGCAGAAGAATTCATTGCCATCTGACCCACCCAAGGATGCCATGGAACAAAGCCTGAGCAAAACCTGAGTGACTTTCACTGATTCACTCAGTCACATAGTTCCCAGAAGCATGCTGTGACCACCTGGTCCATGGTGTCTGGGGACTCTAGAACGCTGCAGAGCAACTATCCCAGAATGGACTGGGGACAAAACACAGGATGCTTCACAGGAGCAGGTGTCAACTCCATGCGGTGCAGAGGAAGGCTCTGTGGACAGACATACACCATCCTCACTCAGGATCTTCATAGAATCAAGGTGACATGAAAACAATGGAACTCCTTAGGACTCCCTGCCCCATCCTTACTGTCACTCCAACCAACAAAAGGGAGATCCATAACCTACTGTGGTGTTCACTCCAGGACATCTCAGGGGCCTCTGCCCCGTCGCTCTGCCCATGTGCACCTCTGACCTCTGGAAGGAGGACTGCTGCTGCCTGTCTGTGGCTGTGGAGCACAGTCCCTTGTGTTTACACCTCCTTGAAGGACAACAGTCACAATGGAATACAAGCTTCCCTCAGGTTAGGGAGGGCCAGGCACCAAGTGGCAGGACATAAGCCTTACCCCCACTGAGTGTTCACAATCAAGTCTTTTTTCCTTAAGGTAATTCTAGCCCTCATGTTTTTGTAGTTTAGGGACGTAGAAGCAAGAACATCTAGAAAGACCATTCCCATCAAACCTTAAAAATTCAGCAACCAGGAGCATATGTCACTGAACTTCCTGCAACCAATTAATTACTATAACCCAAAACTACTATACCTGTGTTTATTAAAATGTATATTTTGTTTACTAAAGGAATTCCATATTTTTCAGCTGACATGGACTATTATTGTTATCTGACTGGATATTCCGTTTCAGACACAAACGCAAATATGTATCACAATTACAATGAACACATGTATATCTCAGGCAAACATTACATAAGTAAAGTAGATACATATGAAATATAGAGTTATTCATCTGTTACAGCCCATTGGTCTCATAGAGACATACTATGTGTTTGCTTGCTGCTGGAATGGACAGTTCCATCAGCTGAGACCTACTTCTCCACCTCAGCGTGAAGATGGCTTTAAGAGCATACCACGTCGCCCAGGT